GCTGCTGCTGCTGCTGCTGCCACAGAAGCAAACAAGCAAACAAACACTGAGATGGGAAGCTCCCCAGGACTCAGCTAAATCATGCTTGACGGTTCCAGAAAAGTTATCTTTTCTTTAAAGACGAAAGTCATCTTTTTATGAAAAATTATAGATAGATCGTGTTAATATTTATAAATGTATTAATAATAGCCTATAGTTTATCCAATGCTTTCATTTTCATTATTATATTGAATAGCTACTAAGGAGGGGGAGATCATGATTATTCACTTTTTACTGATAATGTTTCATGGGATGAACAGTTAAGGGGCATTGGGGATGTTTATCTTAGAGAAGGTAAGGCTCAAGTGGACATAATGGCTTTTTCAATAGAATGGTACCTGTTCTGTGTAGGGTTAGCAACAACAAAACGCAGGTCACAGACGTGGGATATAAGGAGAGTAACGTAGGCACAGCACAGTAAAGACTTCTGGGAATCAGAGCTCTCTACATATGGAATAAGCTGCCCATTGAGGTATGGAGATCCTTAATCTTGAGCATGTTCAAGCATAAGTTAGGTGACTAATAACAGGCAAATAAATTATAGAAGAAAGGCGGGCATTCGATGGGAACAGCAGGACTAAAGGGACTACGTTCCCTCAACTGAAACTATTTAGTTGATTAAACCATTAGTTTATAAAATTTAACTTGCCAAGTTGTCCATTATCTGTTATGACTGTACCTTTACAACACACAGAACGCCTTCGTTAGTTTCTTTGTCTGTGGTGATTTTGAAATGCCCGTTTTCATTGCCCTTCAAAATAGTAAAATTGGCTCTCCAATTGGCACTGTTCACTAAATCCTTATCTTCTACAGGCAGTCGTAAGATTTCCATGTTGTATGTATTTTCCTCTACTGATGCTTCATACTGAAATGGAAAGGACTCATTAAAAATATTGTATAAAGAAAACATTTACAAAAAAAGTAAAATATATCTTCTACCCCAAAAGTATTTGTTCTTATAATTTTTCCCTAGATTATTTTAAAACTATGAATCTCAAATAGTATTGTTTCATGAAGACATCTTTTGAATGAAAAGAATTTCATCACAAATGAAGACTGTTAAGATCTTTAACAAGAGGTCAGTAATATAAATAATACTATGAACAAATAAGAGATTTATGTATCTACTATTTAATTTTATTAAAAAATAAGCATATATATTTCAAGGCATGATAAATATTTATTAATTCAGATCAAATAACAAATGCCAACAGACAGGGATAGATTTTGGAAATATACTTACAGTACTTTGTTTGAAAACAGGTGAATTGTCATTTGAATCTGCTACTGTTATCAGACAAGTCGATGTGCCCACCAATCCAAAAAACTGACCATCCATATCTTGTACTTTCATTATCAATTTGTACTTGTCTACAACCTTAAAACAAAGCAAATATTTAATTAGTTTTTTACAACTTTATTTAGATTTATAAATTAAATTTTAATTGTATACTCTTCTATTTGTGTGTATTCATGCTTTTATTTCCACATTTGCATGTACTCTAAGAACTTGGTAGACAGGGATAACGCTGAAAAGGTAAGCAGAGGTTAAATTATAAAGAGTTATACTAAGAATTTAGACTTATGTTTTAAAATATATTGTGATTGATTTCAGAGAGGGAGAGGGAGAGATAGAAACATCAATGATGAGAGAGAATCATTGATTGGCTGCCTCCTGCATGCCCCCTACTGGGGATAGATCCAGCAATCCAGGCATGTGTCCTGACTGGGAATCGAACCATGACCTCCTGGTTCATAGGTCAACACTCAACCACTGAGCCACACCAGCCAGGCTCGACTTACGCTTCATTTTATTTTTTTGAAACCCTCCTGACAGCGGTTCTCAACCTGTGGGTCTCGAACAATGAA